GAGATACATATGTATAGAACTATACTGGGTTGACATCCTCACCTACATTCACTAGCTACAACCTTGAATGATCAATCGAAGCAGGTGATAGGTGTCTACAATTTTTACTGCAACGTCCAATGAAGCAGTGTAGTTGGGTACACTCAAGTCACATAACTCAATTATAGGACTCACTATAAACATTAACTCGAATATATATATATATATATATATATATATATATATATATATATATATATATCTTGCCACTTATGTCAAGACATTATTAGGATTTTTCAAAGACTATTTAAATATGGTTTACTTATAAAAAAATACTGTTTTGAAATGCTTCTAAAAGTGTTACTGCTATTAGAATAAAACATGTAACACTCACCAACCTCGTATTGACTCTAAAAACTGCATGTATTCTCAGGAAATCATTAAATAAACATTCAAGATGGATTGGATTATAGGTGACCTAGTTTATTTTTTGTTCTATTATACGCCTATCTGTTAAGACCATTCATGTATTATTGTTATTTGTAAAAATCTTGTATTCAAATATCAAGATGGAACATAAATGATATATTGTTTATTTTAGTACTTGTGCTATATATTCAGTTTACCTATGATCCATGAAACTAGTCGCACAGCCCGATGTGTTCCGCCGCCTCAGCCGGGGGTGTGAAAGATTGGTATCAGAGCTAAATTGGCTGAAGAGAACTTGTGTCCTCAAAAGAGAAATACAACTATAGCATCTAGCTTCTAGTAAAAGTATTATGATTATTAATTACCCTACTTCTTGGCTACTTATGGTACGATGAATCTGGTTTGAAGCGCCCCATAGGATTGTTGGCTTTCAGAACGACCTAATCGCTAAAATGGTTATGCCCAACTATATATATATATATATATATATATATATATATATATATATATATATATATACATGCCCAATTTCAACCATAGACATACCCATTGAATCATTTATACAAACAAATACATAATGTAAATTCATACAAAAATAAATATTTATTTAAATCAAATACACACACTAAATACATTATATAAAATATTAAAAATAAAACTTATACCCTTTACACTTAAAATGATAGCACATTTGTGGTTACTGTTAAATTATATTTTGCACAAATGAACACTAAAAGAGGAAATACATTCTTCCACTTCACTATACTTTTTCCCTAATTTTTTTACCTGCATACAAAGCTCATGTAGCTGACTTACAACTATGAAGAAAACACTATTTGGTACTATTTCTACACATCAACTACTGATTCACTAACAATTAAACAACCGTTAAACTTTTAAACATCAAACTTGATTAAACGAACTCTTCCTGTTTCCTTTCTTTTTTAATTTGCGTTTTCACGTCTTGTTGAACATCAAACACAACACACACCAAAAACCCATCTAAACCTATTAATTAAACATTGACAACCAAAAGAAGGTAAATAAATTTAAGCCCATATTACTCATTGAGCACCACCGTCGAGCCCCATCTGCTTCCATTTTCCTCTTCTTTGCTCGCCAAATCTGCCAGACCCTACCTCAATTTTTCTACTTCCTTGTGTTCCTTCCCTTTTATCTTGCAAAATCCATCCGATAATTGATGATCAGTTTCAACTTTGTTGCTTCCTTCAATCACGAAACCACTGACGACGCTCCCTTTGCCTTAAATTGATCATCAATTGTCGGACCGATGCTGCTGCATTCTTGTTGAGTTATTTCCATTTGGTGCATTCGTTTGTTCCTCTAATATCACCAGATTGAAACAAGAAATGGTGTAAAAGCCCCAATATTGTTTTAATGAACAAATTACACTAATGGTCCTTTAGGTTTTGGATTTTTCCCTAATGTAGTGCCTACGGTACTTTTTTCCCTCAATAGTACCTATGGACCATAAGTTGCACGGGTTTGGTCCCCAAGTTGGATGCTCGTCCATTCCAATGTTAAGTTGCCCCAGTGTGACTTGCACATGAGGGTATTTATGTCATTTTAGCCTAAAGGGCCTTTTCTGAATATATAAATTAACGCTTTATATTACTTCTCCTTGTTATTCTTCTTAATTCAATCAATCACTACTACTGTTAGAGAAAGAAAGCTGTGGAAAATGCTGATATGTGCTTGTGGATATCATGATCTAGCCATCATCACTTCCTAGTCAGATCGCAAGCCTGGAAGGCGATTATGGTCTTGTCTTCGTAATTAGAGAAGGTGTGGTTTGATTGGGTGGTTTAATGAGCCGATGTGCCCTAGATCGGTGGAAGTGATACCTGGGTTAATCAGGTCTATGAACAAGCTCCAATAATATCTTCAACAAGCTACACTACAAGCTAGGATGTATAAGCTAATCATTCTCTTCAGTTGGGGTCTTTTTTCAATTCATTACTTAAAGCATGGTCGAAGATGCCTCTGAATGTGGTGTCTGAATGCAAGAAGTAGTGTCGTAGTCATGGGGTTAATGTACTAGTGGTCTTATTTTGAGTGTGAAGATAGGAAATCGTAGCATGGTTTATGTAATGTTTGTGTCTTTTTTGAGTTTGACTGCAATAAATTATGTTCGGGTTAATGTTGTCTTAATGTTATAGTCTTTTTGTAATCAAATGGTTTAATTTCAGAACAAGGTTATTGTGTCATGACTTTTTGCAATCAAATATTATTGACAAGAACACCAATTCAACATGCATGACCATACACTTTGAATATCACAAATACTAGTTGACAAGAACAAGAATATAACAAAAATGCAATTGTATATCACAATAGCAGTTGGCATTGTTTCATAGTTTACATATGTGTACAATGATTCAAGGTCAACATGCATGACCATACAAAATAAGGAGCCCAAAGTAAGTATTGTTTGGTACATAAACATAGGTGTTAACATAACCATAAAAGTAAAGTGCAAATTACATAAAAAGACCTAATGGTTGTCAACAACACCCCCTTCCTCACTTCTATCCTCCTGTTTCTTCAGTTCTTTTGTCATTATGGCCACCTTGACCTTTACAAGTTATTGAATTATGCCCTTTGTTGTTGCACTTTCTACATGTGACAGTGGTCTACCTCTTGGAAAGTTTATGCTCCTGTGTAGCAGGTTCATCATATGCCCTCTTCCTTTTCTTCTTGGGTCTACCCACCAACAAATGTACATAAGATTAAATTGTTGTTCTTGAAAAAACTGTAGTTATATTGATATATGAAGACATAACTGAACAACATATTTGGGTGGAAGCAACTTGGTTGGGCATTGTGATTGGGGCCACATCAATCTACCATTTATAGCTTCAATTTTCTGTTTGTACACTTCTGCCCATGTAACTAGCCAGTAGCATAGGTGGACCCAATGCTCCAACTCAGGAACATTCTTTGCTCCATGTTTAATCTTGTCCCATATTGCACTTATTGCGTGTGAGCATAACATGCCTGTAATTTCCCAATGTCTACATGTGCATGTTTTTTCACAATAAACTGATAACCCCAATGAGTAGTGACTTGAGTTTTAACCCCATTGAAAATAAACTTGTGCTTTTGTTCTTGTCATGTCATTTGATCATGAAGACTAGTGGCAGTTGGTGTGAGAGGACCATGGCATCTATCAATGTCTCTTCGGACATTGCAAATTCTCTTCATCAAATACTCTCTAATATACTCCAAACAATAAATGATAGGTGTGTCCCTACCACCTTGTATTTTTCCATTTAGAACCTCACACAGGTTATTCAACAAGATGTTACTATGTTCCCTCCCTATTTAGTCATATAATACAAAATGAGAACAAATCTTAACAATGACAAGTAAATGTTAACATAAAGGAAAGATGAAGTACCAACCTGAGAAATGAGATCTTGCCTAATGAGCTGGAGGAATCTATATCAGCAAATCATGAGCTTCACCTTTGAATTTATTTAGCTCTCCTAATGCTTTCTCAAAATGACTTACAGTAGTAGCAGTTGCACATGCCTACACCAAATCTTTGATTTCTTTATCCTTCGACTGCCTTTTCATATTTTCATAAATATGCCTCAGATAGAACCTATGCTCAGCTTAAGGGAAAAGTGTGGCAATCGCAGGAATGATACCCTATTTAAATATTTCAATACTTAGTTGACTAAATAACAACAATATCAAATTAAATTAAAGTATATGCACCTTCTGCCTATCTTAGATGAAAGTGAGTTTGAAATAGCATAAAGTTCCACATCATCACCAAGTTGTTCAAAAAAAGATGCCCATGAATTGGTGGTTTCATTCTCAACAAGAGCATATGCAAGAGGATATATCCCATTACTGGAATCTACCGCTACGGCAGTCAAAATTTTACTAGGATAGGGACCTTTCATGAAAGTACCATCCAACCCTATGAAATCCCTTAGATTAGCCTTAAATCCTTCCTTTAATGCTCCTAAACAATGTAAATTCTCCTAAATGTCCTTGTATCAGAATTTATATTTGGCTCACTGTAACAATCGATCTTCACATTAGTACCTGGGTTTCTTTCCATCAACTCTAATCCATAGTCCCTCAAAATAGCATATTGTTTCTGAAAATCCCCAAAAACATGCTTCTGAGCCAATTCCTTTGCCCGATGTACCTTCATTCTTGACATGTTCATCTCGAATTTTTGGATGAGATCTTCTTGAAGTGCATTGACTGGAATGGTTGGATTACTCTCAATTTGCTTCACAACGTTTGTTGCAATGAATTTGTAGTTGCAAGCTTTAATGGTTCTTGATTGCACACACCGATGTTCACCAACTAGGGTGTTCACTACCCAGTCATCTGTCTCTTTAGGTCTAGACACTAGTACAACCCAAGGACATTTACCCTCTTTCATGTCAACATCCACATCATCGACAATATTTTCTAAATCCACAAAAAAGTCTTCGTCCTCACTCTCATCATCTGTCATCTAACCTTCACTCCTACTACCCTCACTCCAAGGACCCTCACTAACACTTTCCTTACTTCCACTGTATTCATCCTAAAAAAACTCAAGATCATGTAGATTTTTTCCCCCAACATATTTTGCATCCATATCCCCCATTACCAATCATCCATTGGATCAACATCCCCTTTTGGTTGGGGCTCATCCCCTGTGTCAACATTTTCTTTACCATGGTTATCCTCAAATTGTACCCCCTAAAGGGATCACTCTTTCGATCAACTGAGTGGTTTTTGTTGATTACATGTTCAGAGGGTACAATTAACTTTGACAAATCAGTGGACTCATTCAAATCCAACTTTTTACTACATAACCCAATTGATTTCCTTTTCATTCTAACCCTATTCATTTCAGGAGAATCATTCCCTTCAACTTCCTCAATACGAACCTTCAATGGGGACTTAAAGTAACGGACTACTCTAGTATTTCCATGCTCGATGTACAAATTAATTTCGTTATGATTAAGCACATACCTTGCTAGCTGAATGACTTCCTGATCGGTGCCAAGGGGTAACAATCTACTATCCAAGTCTGTCTCTAGGATCATGAAATGGTAAAACATTATACCTCCGTCATTGTATCCTAAAACTGCCATCATATCATCTAACTCATGGGCTGAAAACACATGCATGTCCACAAAATCAAAGTGATCAACAAGCCCATCTATGTATAACCTTCCAGATTCCGTATTTGTGAACAAACCTCCATGATTTATCTTCAATGTGCAAAAGCTGGAAATAGAACATGTGAACATTCAAGAACAATAAAATGTTAATGATGGCGGAAAGAAAAATTACATTTCGTCAAAACCTAGCATTACAAGGTCCGTGCTTACCATATTCTTTACGTAGGTCAGGTGGTTGGGTGTAGCGTGGACGTAAAGACCACAATGTGAGCACCATTTTCCTCGATACACCCTTCAATCAGTTGAACTGTAACGGCCAACGAAGATAAGAACTCACAATTGAAGAAGATGGGATGATCAAAATGTTTTCTTGGGGAAAGAGATAGAGTGTAAAGTTAATGTCTGAAACTAAACCCCGACACCTTAATGGATATAGTTGTTAATTCATAAGTTCAGAAAATATCCTTTAGGTTAAAATGACATAAATACCCTCATGTGCAAGTCAAATGGAGCAGCTTAACGTTGGAATGGACAAACATCCAACTCGGGGACCAAACGCGTGCAACTTCTGGTCCATAGGTACTATTTGAGGGAAAAAGTACCGTAGGGACTACATTAGGGAAAACTCCATAACCTAAAGGACCAGTCGTGTAATTTGTTCTTTTTTGAATGTATCCACTTGTCCTGATCGGTCATGGAGTGTCGATAAGAAAAAGGGTTTTGATTTTGACCCGGTAAAAGTCCAAAGCAAAAATCAAACTTTCATTCAAATTAAACATAATTGGTCCCTCCCCTTATAAAACCTAATAAATTAAGTACTAAAACCCTAAAATAGTTTCAATTGTACATGATTAACCCCTGTCTTGAGAATAATTCACAACATCAGTCCCTTAAGTATGATTTTGGCAAAATCAAACCATAGAGTTATTAAATTATATGATTTTTATGTGAGATTTCATATTGTAACAAACACGTTATTAAATTTTGTAGTATTTCAAGGATTCAAGCTATTACTAAGCGTGTTTATTTATATGTTGAAGTACACAATGTTTATGTATGTACATATGTTCATTAATTTGAAACATTCATTTTATAAAGCAAGCACATTACACTTTTAAATATATGTCAAATATACTTGGTTTTTATAAAATTTATACAATGATATTCATTATGCCTAGTGACCTAATCACAAGTAAGTTAGGGTTGAGAGTTATTCACAAACTTTTTAGTTTAGGGATTTTTAGTGAGACGCTATGTTATTTATTAGTTGAGTCTAAACACTTAGAATACCCACATTACTATAAATGTTAATATTTAAAGTAAGATACATATGTATAGATCTATACGAGGTTAATGTCCCCACCTGTGGTTGCTAGCTCTAACCTTGACTGATAGCTCGGGTACACTCAAGTCATATAGCTCGGTTATAGGACTCACTATAAACATTAACTAGAATATCTCTCTCTCTCTCTCTCTCTCTCTCTCTACCCTCCCTCTCTTTTACCACAACCTTTAAATGTCATTCATTTTAAATTCGTTAAATAACGTTTGTCAAGACATTGTTTGGATTTTTCAAAGCTTATTTGAATATGGTTTACTTATAAAGAAAATACTTTTTGAAACACTTTTAAAAGTATTACTGCTATTAGCAAAAAACCTATAACACTCAAGAACCTCGTGTTATCTCTCAAAACTACATGTATTATCACGAAATCACTAAACAGACATTCAAGGTGCATTGGAATATAGGTGACCTGGTTTACTTGTTGTTAAATTATATACCTATTTGTTAAGGTAATTCATGCATTATTATTATTTGAAAAAACCTTGCATTCAAATATCAAGATGGAACATGAATTCTATATTTTTTATTGTTGTACTTGTGCTATATATTCAGTTTACCTATGATCCAAGAACTTAGTCGCACAACCCGATTTGTTCCGCCGCCTCTGTCGGAGGTGTGACAAGTACCAACTGAAGTGTTATCTTCATCCAACATGAAATCTATTAGGTGTCCTTCATCAATGTGAGGTTGAAAACCATCATGATGAGAAGACTTCAGAGGATCGCCTGATCTGATTGTGGTTTGATGAGCTTCTCCTATTGCAAATTCTTGATCTACGACCTCATCAGTGGGAGCACCAAATGGCTGGTTGCTCCAAATGACTCGATTTCTCATGGAAATGAGAGTTTATAAAACTTGTGAATGAGTTAGCTCTGGATGTGTCGTGTGAGTCCTGTTAACAAAATAAATCCAATCTTCATCATTAGAACCTGGTCATCCTTTACCATAACCAAGTATCCGAATAGTTGTGGCTCTTATAGTTGGAGGGACAACCCCAACTTCAGAGAGCTTAGGATCCAAGATAGGGGCTTCTAATAGTGCTTGTGTTAAAAAAAAATGGATTTCCAAGATGTTTCGTGATTGTGTTCCATGGGGTGCAAGGAACTTTTTTCAACACTGACTTCATTTTTTAGGAAGGTGAGGGTGGATCATGTGGGGACTCCTCGTATATGTGTATAGATGCTATTAAAGCTTCGGAGGGTACTTCAGAAGAATGGCCTGGAGGGTTAAGCGGATGACCAAATTTAGTTGGAATGTTATCTTGTGATTCCTTTGGAGAGGAAGCACTAAATTTGGCTCTCTTTTCGGTTTGAACTTTGGTGGGAGAGGTTTTGCGTTTAGCTTCCTTCTTCTTTTTACCACCAATCCACACTGGTTTGACCATATCCGAGAGTTCTACAACAAAGACTAGGACAGATTATGTTGGGTCATACACAATCAAAGTCTGTAAGTGATATTTTAAGAAAATCGTATTGGATGGAAGAGTGGCCAACATGTGTTGTCGAAGTATATGAGTGGGTGCATGAGTACATTCCAAAGGTGCATGGGTACAATCCAAAAGTCCAGGAACGACTAAGTTCTCTAGGAATATCTGAAACTCTTTGTCGTTTGTTCTTACACTGTAAAACCCTTAGGTTTTATCTGGGATTCCAATCGCTTTGAGGATATTTTTCTTTGATAAAGGAACAATTCGATCGCCTGTGATTTTTGTTTCCAAAACTCCATCTTGCATCTTGATCCTCTTGAAGGTAGTGTGAAGGATTTGTAGTGGTATTCAGGAATTTGTGGTTTTAGTGAGAGGAATGGCGATGGGTTGCATGAGATACACTAAATCATCTTTAGATGGGATTTGTCATAGTCCATAGGATCGAGTGAGAAGAGTTGAGTGGTTTCACGAAGGATTGTATTAGTAAACGAAGACGAAGTGGAACCTTTAGAGGATTTTTTTCTTTGAGACTGTTTTTGGAATTTATGGGGTATTTTGTGAGGAGGCCATTGTTGAAGGTATGAAAGCTCGAAGAACAGGTTACAGAAGGAATATTGGAGAATAAGGAGAATAGAGCGTAAAAAGAATTAGTTGGGGTTTGAAATCTTTGTATAGCTTGGATGTCCGGGTCGGGTTAAGAAAAACCACAATGATTATATCCGATTGGTAAGTTGGTTGAAATTAAATGTTTTTCCAAAATTGGCATGCGTTTGACCTACAATGACGAAATATTCAATGGCAATACGTGTGATAATGAAAACCGTCATTTCGGTTTTAGTTGATGGGCACTTTATCGAGACGTGTGCAAAAAGCATGATTATTCAGGAATTAAGTATGATCATTAAAAAAGTACCGTTAAGTCACTTAAGAAAATGTTTCGGAAATTTTTTTAAAGAAAAAACTTTGAACTTCTGTTGAAACGAATGATCTCAGAACAAGGAAGTTCCAAGCTAGAGTGTCATAAGATGTTTTGTGGAGAAAATGAACGCAAAATGTGTACATGATAAAGAGTACGAGATGGCACAGTCGTGGACTGAATATCAGAGGTAAAATGTATGAGGAGCTTAGAGTATATTTTTTAAACATATTTGAGATTCCGAGACATGATGAGTCAGAGCTCGGACAAAGGTAAGAGGTGAATGCACATTACCGTTTTGGACTTGAATTCCAAGCTGAAATTCAAAACGCACTTTTGAGATAAATTATGAGGCGAAATCAAAGCAAAATACCAATGCAACTAAATTTCTCATGACCTTCAAAAGATGAGGTAAGTTGTACAAGTTAAAACTAGAAGAAGAGGTTAGACAAAAAGTCATGAAAAATGATCCTATTTATTCTGAGAGATAATGATTCCGAGATAAAAAAAAATATTATGAATTTGGAATTACTTCAATTTATGGTGTTTCCATCATAGAGTACAAGCCTCTTGGAAGAATAGAGGATCAGGCAACATCATACCCATTTTGTTCAGAAAAGCATTGAAATTGGTTTCATCTAATGCCTTAGTAAAGACATCAGGAATTTCATCGTCGGACGGAAGAAAAATAAGTTCAACATTTCTTTTTAAGACATGATCTTTAATAAAATGGTACCGAATATCGATATACTTCGTCATGGAATGTTGAATTGTATTGTGAGAAATGGAAATGGAACTTTAAGAATCACAATAGATTGGAATTTGTTGATATCAATAACCGTAATCTAAAAGCTAAGATTTCATCCACAAAACTTGAGAAGTGTAACTAGTAGCAATAATGTATTCTGCTTCGGTTATTGAAAGTGCAATGCAATTTTGTTTCTAAGATGACCAACTAACCAATATTCCACTCAAAAATTGACAACCTCCTGAGGTGCTTTTTTTTTGTCCAACTGAAGGCTACCATATTTGGAATCGAGGTATGCTTAAAGGTTGAAACTCTCATATGTTGGAAACCAAATTCTGAGACTCTTTGTACCTTTGAGGTATCAGAAAACTTGCTTAACTGCCAAAAGATGAGACATCTTTGGATTGACCTGAAATCTGGCACATATGCATGTAGAGAACATGATGTCCATACAACTTGTTGTTATATAAAGTAACGGTCCAATCATTACCCTATACTTCTTTTCGTCAACATCAATACCAGATGCGTCTGAGAAGATCTTGAGTCTGAAACCCATACTAACCTTTGCAGAGGCACATCCATTGAATATTTATTGAGAATATCGGAAATGTATTTTTCTTGGTGAATAAAGATTAATCATTTGGAATCGACTAACTATTAACTTGCTATTAGTTTACTTTTTTTGGATTCTGAG